CTTTCAATTTAAGTAAATAATGCATTATAATGTTTAAAAGAGTCTAGTTTAAAAGAGGAACATTATAGTTAAAATTGTTTTCCTTAAAAGAAGGCTCGAATAATGCAATAAGGTAAGATAATCCGCAAGCTCTTCGAATGTCGCATAAACCACGTAAAAAATTCAAAAGATCTATAGTCCGATATAATTATGATGTCAAGGGCGAAAGACGTAGAGAAATTAGAAAAGCCAATCTTGTTTAACAGGCAATTATTCATGACGGTTAAGTGCACGTACTTAATAGAAAAAGGAAGAGGTAAAGAGGTATTAGCCAGGCAAGTGTCGGTGCTCGCGTCTGTTGCGACCAAGCGAAAGTCCTTTAACCTGGGAATATAATTGCGCTTGTGTTCGTGAAATCAGTAACTCGATATAAGAGCTTAAGTGCGAGGCCCTCTCCTGAGAATCCTGCAACCTCCTTTTGACCGCGAGCAAGTCTCTTCTCGTTACCCTAATTCCGTCAGCAAAACCCACGCGACTCGTATCGCGTTCTTTTCTTTTTTTTTTGTCTTTCTTTATTTTTGTTTATAAATTTATACATTTCACCTTGAAGCGATGGGAATTCATTTTTCAACTCTCCTCATTCGACTTCGCTTTTCTCGCTTGCTCACTTTTAATGATAGGTTTGTTTCCGGCCCGTCATTTTGGCTTCTCGACTGTATATGACGTCTTATGTAGGTCAGTACTTGGTAGCTCCTTAGATTTTACCTTCTCCGTACGAGCAATCAAATTAACTCGCACTTTTATTTTACTTATCGCGTGCACTCGTTGAGGAAGTGAAAATCGTTGTGTATTCACGTAGGCGGCGTGAGCCTTGGTTCTTCTCGAAAGCTTCACTCCTATTGTCAACGCATTCGATGCTTTTATGGATGCTCCTACTTTCAAAACATGTGGAGCAACGGCTCTATCATTTTATACGCATATCAGCTAATATCGCGGATTGTTGAAAAATCTCGTTCTCATTCATTTGGAGTCAGACAAGTTGTTATGTCAATTACTTGTTAGACTATTGAAGCCCGGCGCTTTTTTTATATATAATTAGATATCCCCCGATATACTTTATTTACCTCAAAATTATATTACAGTTGTTTACAATTTTTTAGACATCTACTTATTTAATTTTTTTGTTTTGCTTTTTTTTTTATATAATTAGCACATTGCATTTCTATTTTCTTCACACTGATGATTTATGCTCTGACATTTTTCATTTTTATTTTGCCTCATCGATTGTATGGCAAACATTTATCTATTGACAATTTATTTTATAAAACTAATTTCTATTATGAAAAAATAAATGTGCACGTATAATAGAATGATTAATATACAGAGAGAGAGAGAGAGAGAGAGAGAGAAAAGAAATTACCAACTAAACTGCGATGTTTGAAAATGTCACATAAACCACGATGAAAAGTTTTCATTTCTTCATGCTCTTAGTATATATTGAGACATGTATGTATCAAGTAAAGCCTACGTATGAAATATTACGTTGCAAACTGATCATAATGTCACTTTTATATCTCATTCGGTATTAATTTACAAGATTTCAGTAGATTATAAGCAATTGGAAAAAAGTGTTTTCATATAAGCAGATATAATGTTTCAAAAATATACGAGTAGTCTTTATATAAATTTAACTAACGAATGAATTGAAAATATATTAATGTGGCATTTTTCTTAATGCACTATCAATTAAAAATTAAAGAATTTTCTATTTTACATAATTAGAAAACTGAAAAATAAATTGCAATATATGTCTTTTTTTTAGCTTCGAATAAAATATCCTTTTACATAAAAGTCTTTTATTATAAAAAGAAAGGAAAAATAATTAAAGTACGCATTATACAATAAACGGAAACCAGAAGTTTGTTTTTAATTTAATACCTATGAGATACTTTCCACGACAAAAGTGAGATTCCGTGGCTACGTACTCTAACTATCTACATTTCGTCGCATTCAAGTTATTCACAAGCTGGAAAAATAATATTTCTTGCTGAGAAAGGCAAGAGCATACTAAACTTTATTTCGCAAGATATATGATAATAAAACAAGATATAATAATAAAAGAAGCTCCTTAAGTCTACTAAGTATTAGCATCACTGATGTATCACCTTAAAAATACGTTATCATTCCATTTGTCTAAAATTATTATTGATTTTTTCAAATACAATGATAGATTATTATTATTAAAATATATATATAGTTTTATTTGCTTACAGACGAAATTGAAAATTTTATATACTAATTACCGTTACGCAACTCTTTATTAATAAAAGACTAGGCACGTTGATGAATGTTGAATTCACCAACGGTTGAAGCAATTTAAATAAATAGAAACTCAATTTTACAGTTTCGCGTCTGTGAATTAATCAGCAAAATTGATCTTCTTAATGTTCATTTGAACGTATAAATAGGTATAATTAAAGCACTTGCGTTACCATTGAACTGTAAGTACTGCATGTATGATAGCCGCTCGAAATGAGAAACAAGCTTTTAACATTGAAGCAGACGCGCATAAATTAACGTTTATTTAACGATGTGTAATATATTGGCATAACAATGGAAGAGCTTCCTTGAACGCACAAAACAACTCCTATGAGCAGGAGCCACGCTCGAAGTGAACAATACGTTTGCCCATCGCTCGATATCCTCTGGATTTCGAGTCGTCGAACTCTTCGCATCGAAAATGTGGAAGGATGAAAAATGAGTAGGACAAGTCCATCGCGCACAATACACGTACGGCTGAGCCGATAAACCGTTTAGTCGATGAGAACCGTTATCGGTCGACCATCTAGCTGTAACTATGGCGAAAACCACAATTACGGCTAGGAGGCCTCCTTCTCTCCTCCGTCTCCCCAACGCTCTTTTTCTATTACTATTCTCGATTTGGATTGACATTCTTTGCGGAACTCGATATAAAGCTAATGCCATCACTGCCGCTCGTGGCTTTTCTTGTCGTTATCCGCACGTATCGCTGAGACCGATCTCTCGGAAATTATTATCTGCTCATCTCCCGGATGCATCAGCCGCCCACTCGTTTGTTCCGGCGGTGCAATATTAGCTTTCATCAGAAGGTCAAGATCCTCGCATACTCGCGTACAATAATAATAATAATAATAATAATAATAATAATAATAATAATAATAATAATAATAATAATGTTCCATTATTTGTTCAATCGCGCGATTTTTCAGTTTTACTTTTTCACGGTGAAGCTTCTTGGAACATAAACGCGTGTGGAGCGGAAGTCAAGAGCAACGCGTGGGTAAATGCATCATACACCTGATCATAGTTCACTTTAATGAATTTGAAGAAAGCTATTAAGAGCGATGAAATTGCCTTGTTTACTAGACATTTTTTCTTCTTCTTCCTTATCTCAGACACTCTTGGGAACTTCTTTGCTTATACGTAAATTAATCGTAGATTTGTTACATTTATAAAGTAAAAGCTATCCAAATACGAAATTACTGGGCGAAGATTATCTGGAATACTGCAATTGTGTCGCATGCGTAACACGATAATTGTCTTGTAAAAGTTAATAAATTGTCAAATACCCGAAAGATAATTTAATTAACAATGTTATTATTAACTCCACTCAACGATGCTTGCATATGTTTCATATATTTTTGAAAAACTAACCACCAATACGAAGTGAAAATTACAATTGCGCTAACATGACTTATATAATCTTGAAATGTACGTCGAAATTCAGAGCATAAGTGACTATTACTGGTATATTATTCGTGTAGTTATAGAATAATTAAATTTACTATAAATTATATCAAAAAAAAAAAAAAAAAAAAAAAAAAAAAAAACTATTAAACCGTATCCATTATGAAGGAAATACTTTAATATCATGTTTTTGAATAATTATTTAACCTTAATTTTACATCCGATATTTCCATTAAGAATTATATATTCATAATTAATTAGCTGTAAATATAAATATGTTATGCAAGAGTATGTTTTTTGTTTCCAAATATTGCCATTTGTAAAGTAATTATTTGTAGATTCAACATTAAAATATCAATTTCAAAGAAATTTTCTAATGCAATCTAGTGTAAAAGTTATTTCAGAAGTTGGAACTAATTAGTCTCAAAATATACATAAATTTCATACATAAAATTCTAGGGTACGATAGAGTAGAACAAAAAAAAAGCATCAAAGGGCAATTGTAACATAAAATTTTCATCTCTCTCTCTCTCTCTCTCTCCCTCCGCTGAAATTCTTTATTTACTATTCAATTCGTCGAAGAAAAGCAGGTGAGCATAGCTTGCAAATTTTCAACTTCGCAATTGTCAATTGACAATCACTTGCAAGTTTTCAATTATACATTACTCTACAGGATTTTGCAAGAATGAAAATGGCTCTGTTCTCTCTGGCGCCGAGAAATATAGAGATAGCGGATAGAGAAAGGAATTACGTCAGATAAAAGCATTGTCAAGTGATGTAATGCGCTATGCTATATTGCGCAAAATCCGAAGTGGCAGAAACGAAATTCATAATTTCTTATACATTAATGTTTCGACTCTCCCCAATCCCTATGATGTTTTTTACCATTTATGATCATAAATACTCTTTACATGATACTTTGTAATACAAATACTTTTCGCATATATAATATTTAATCAACAATTTCGTAACCAATAATATCAAAATTTGTTAAAGTGACCAAGATAATAAAGTTTCCTAGTGGACAAAAATGCCGCGTTTAATATGTTAAATATCCTGAAGGCATTAATATGCTTAATAATATTTCATGAGCAATATCCAATAAGGACTACAGTTCAGCGCATGTATCCAAGAAGATGCATAACGATTCTTTCGCTAATAGATTTCAGACAGACTGGCTAGGATGAGTGGTCGCGCGGGTACCAGAAGGAGAGCGGATCCGTCAGCTTTGGGGCGAGTCTCACGTCAGTTTGGTAGGCTGCGCGCACTAGGAGTCAATCGGCTGGGAAATGACAATGACGAGTGTAGCCGTAGGCCCGGCTAGCCTAGGACTTCCCAACATGCTCGGCCCCAAGAGGTACCATCTCCAGCAGGGCTTGGCCTCGCCAACCTCACCAACCTCGCCCACACCTCCCAAGGTAAGATTCTCGTCCATTCTTCATTGACTCGGGGGGGGGGGGTATTAACGCACGAAAATACAGTTTTATTGATGATAGCCAGTACGAAAGTCAATGCCCGTTCGTGTAGTTTGGTGAGCCGATTGAGAAGAAAATTAAGCTTCGTTAATTGAAATGATTATATACTATTGCTCTGTATTAATAGAATGGCTCGGGTGTGGCAATTCAAGCGCTTTCCTTGCCGCACTATTGCTCATAAATCACTGGATAAAAGTTTCGAGCTGCCTTATTTTCATTTGCCTTATAGCTTGACAAGTGAATAAAGAATTTCTTACCTTCCAATCGGATATGCCGTATTCGTATTGCTTATCTTTATTTGCTTAGCACCTTTAATAGTGGCCCTAATAATAATAATGGCCTTTTCATTTTGATTTAATTAATTTAGCGATCACGATACAATAATTTAAAACAATAGCTTTCCCAGGTCTAAAAATTAATGAAAATTGCTTCTTATTATTTTGTGCTTTGAATTAATATATGGCATAAAATCGCAAAAGCCAATGACGCAATAATAAAAAAAAAAAAAAAAAACGAATGAATTGGCTCCATGTATTTTCTATTAGTTCTTCAACAATATGACCATTTAATATCTAAATTCGTTTAGGAGAATTACATTCGAGATTCTGTAGTATTTTACTAATCGAATATCCGACGTCGTCGCTTTCAGCTTAGCTCCATGCAATCCTCTATTTTTTACGAAAAAAGATAAATCGATACAATTTTCAATTAAATTATCGTTATTATTTTAATTATTATTATTATTAATAAAGAGAAAATGTTATTAGAAAGAAAGAATGAGAAAAAAGACAAAATTAATATACCGAGACACACAGAGGCGCGTTAAGTTATATTATTCATAAGTTACGATATCAATTAATTAAATGGTTCAATTAAACATGCGGCAAATAAAAAATAATTTTCATTTAATCTATTTTCATAATATTAAGTAAGTTTATAAAAATGTAATTGGATAAAATATGCAATATTGTTTAACGTTGTCATTATGTACGTAATAAAAACTGACCCATTAAAATTACTTTATTTTATTGGGATTATATAAAAATTTATAATCATTATAAACTGGTACACATGCTCAACTTAGTTATATAATCAATATGTTAATTTTTTTTAATTAGCCTTATGATTTTTTTCACGTTTTCTTTCTATTCGATTTTAAAATGCCATACATTTAAAAATACACATTAATAATTAGCAATTCAATTTGCATTGTATTTTCTTTAGAGGATGATCGTATGGCCATTTTGCCACGTATATAAGTAGCTTAGAAATAAAATAATCAATATAAGTTGCTAAAGTATCTAAAATTGACACGATTCGCGAACTTTATGATACTCTGATGAGATGTTAGTCTGTACCTAAGCTCTGTATATTAAGAGTATTAACATGAAAAAACAAAAACAAAAAAAACAAAAAAACAAAAGACAAACAAGAAAAAAAATGGATCTATGTAAATTTCGAAAAATATACAAGTTGCTAAACTCGCTTACTATCTCGACGGAACGGATACTCAATACCATAAGTGACTGATGTACGTATTAAAATGCAAGGTACGCTACTGCGTACTAGTTTAAAATTATTGCCGCCCGTTGAATTCCTAACAAGTACAAGAGGAGGAGCGCGGAAATCCGCCGAAGCGCGCGTAACGTATCACCTAATGCAACATCTCCGCGACATCTGGTGCAAAGTCTATTTCAGAAATGATGCAAAGTCCATAATACAAAGAGCCTAGGCAGTACTACGGTTCAAGGTAAATATTTAGCTAACGACGACGACGGTGACGGTGGTGGCAGCGGTCGTAGCATAAAAGCGTGAAATCCAATGCGATTCGCGAAGGACGCGCTTTGAGTATGAGAAAGGACGCGGAGCGTAGCAAGCGAGGGCGACGCGTCGCGATTACGGCGCCGTCGTGCCGACTGGTGATTATGACACAACCCGAAGTTGCCGACAATAACGGCTTTGATGCGGATTTGACTTTTAGAAAGTGCCATGATTCGCTTGCCTCCTTTTTGCCAACTGTCTGCTTCTTCCACTCCCGCACTTGTATATTTTTTTGCTTCGCATTGCTTAGCTAGAGAATAGTTTCATATGATTGATAATATTGAGATGTTTGGAGAATGTGCATGAACGCTTGAAGGATTTCTAATAAAATTTATTGTTTTCTATTCTTTTTTTTTTCAATATAAAACTTATTATTTATTGTTTTTATTCGAGAGTGAATTGATGGTTCGCTGTTTTTCCTTGGAAAAACATTATTGATATAAATGAAAGGATTATAGAAACATCGTTTGACGTTGATAAAGATAGAAAAACAGTAGTTAATTACATATTATATGGGATTTGATAAGTCTACAAAGATAAAAAGTAAGAAATTTTAATGGATTTTTAAATGAGAAGGTGAATTTTTCTTAATTAAAATTATTCTATCGCTAAATACAATAATCATTATTATTAATGTCAATGTAAAATAATTTTAATAATAATGAGCAAGCTTGAATAAATTTAAATAAAAATTGTCCCTCGCAACTTTCAATAAATTTTTTTTTTACCATATTATTAGCATTCAACTCTAAATAAATGACGTGCGCAACTAACTTTCATTTGCGTCATTAATTATGAGAAATGTAACTGCGTATCGAAATCTCGAGTATTTTAATCCGTTACTTATATATATATATATTAATAATGATTTTTTTAATTTTGTTAGATTTTCTTCGTGACGTCTATATATTTATAAAGGAATAAAATACAACATGCTAATAAATCTCTTTTGATTAAAATTTGAAAAAATTGTGAAACGCGAGTCGAATTGTGTAAAGCCCTTAGCGAGAATTTTTATTCATTCAATCATCATCATTTTACTGCACGTATCTACGGTTCCACAGACGTATAAATTATTAAAAATGTAGGCACTTTTTTTGTCTATGCGGTATTACCGATACTTACCAATAGAAGATGCTTTGTGAAATTTAACGCATTAAACGTTTTAATGTTTACACAAATGTAATGTAGTTAAGGATTGTAAGGTAATTTTATATATTAATTTAATTATAGGTAAGTGGCGATTTATAAATAAAAATAAATAATTTTTTACTGTCTATGCCTGCATAAGACCAAAAGGAAAGTAACACCGCTGTAAATTTCCCTACGACATAACGTTGTTCTTTGATTAGATTAGAATAATATAATATATATGTATTTTCACGGGCCTTAAAGAACTTTTTCTCGCGACATAATACAACTGAATCATAATTTGAAACGGTTTCGTCACTGAATTGTATAAGCTGAAGAACTCCCACATCGAATCGATTCTTACTTTAATTAACAGAGGCTTCAGCATAATATAAGGCTTTGTGGTTACGTCTTCAACCAAATGAATTGTGTAATATATCAAGTGCAATGATCTTCTATAATTTACTGGTATTTTATGATATAGATTTCAATACATGCCTAAGATTTATGAAAAATTTATAATGTTACTAACATCTTGTGAAAATTTGTCGTCTTACAAATCGAATTCAACTATTTATGTGGCATTTCGTATAATAATAATAATAATAATAATAATAATAATAATAATAATAATGATAATAATAATAATTTGTGTACGTACGTTAATATCCAATAGAGTGCAATAGAATTAAACGATATAAGCTAAATACGTATATCAAGATACATATGTATTCATAGATATTGCAAGTTTACGTTTGAACATAGTATAAATATATATATTTTTGATTCAGAAGAAAATAATTTCTAATAGGTATTAAAATAAAATTTTTATTCCAACTAAAAATATATATACTATGTATTTCAAGTACAGATATTATGTACAAAAAGGTTATTTGAATATTTATGAAAAATAAGTATATATAAAAGAAAATTGGTAATCGATGAAATTCAAGGAAAGTTTTTATGTTTTTATGTTAATTACGGTTTTTACGGTAATTATAATAATTAAAATTATCGATCTATACACGGATTAGCTCATTGAATTATGATATCCGCGTTTCTTTTAATTTATAATAAATTATTGTCTTGCAAATTGCTCTAAATAAAATAATAAATCACTTAAAAGCTTTCAATGATAAAAGTCTAACAATATTGACAATATTATTAATAAAGAGCATAAAAAATATACTATACATAGAGAAAAATACAATTACATGTGATATAAAACTTATATGTACATATTGCAAGATGGAATCGAAAAAACTTATGTAGACGTTTGAATCAGCGGCAAATTTACTTTAGAAATCTCTTTCAAACGAAGGGAAAAACAAAGCTATTGAGTGTAAGTGCAAGCGATCGGCGCCTCATCTGTCTAAAAATACATATCCCTTACAATTAGATTTATTGACCAATCAAAAAACCAAAAAACACTGTCCGTAATGACAGGGTGCTTTTACTCATTTAGCTGATCGAATCGAGCGGCACAAGTCGACTTAACTATCGCGGCATCGGTAAACGAATAGAATTAGAAAAGGTTCGTTGGATTGTGCGGCCTAATCCGACGGAATATGACGATTAGATTCTGCGTCTGCGCTGAAGTTTCCAACTACTCCGGCACGAGCCAACTTTCATTTCTAATCTTCTATCCCCTTCAACGACGCTTCCCTTTTTCTTTTCGTTTTTCGATGTTTTACGAGTGTCAAGGTATTATGTGTTGATAGCGTGTAGGAGTCGAGAAAGTGATCCTATGAAAATTAACGGGCTTACACGTGAGATTTGTTTATAATGTGTGCCACGATGAAACCATCAGTCGGTCAGATTCTATATAATAAATGGATATATCTAATCGATCTATTTCTTCAACAAGTTTATCAAAGTTTTCTAAGTTATATAAGCCTTACAATTTTAAAGAAAATATAAATTAACTTATCAAATTGACGAATAACAAATACTTAAACTTTTATTATTGTATAAAGAAGAATGTAATATCA